TTTTTTTTTTTTTTATTCCTAGTGAATTCTTGAACAGACTAAAATCTTCCATGACCCGATAAAGGTGGTGAAACAAAGGCTGGCCTTATCTGGAGCTGTAAGAACCTAAAAAAAATTAATATTCAAACCAAAAGAAACTGAATTTCATTTTGCCTCTTTTATTTACAAGTTTAAATATCTCTAATGGTTAGAAAATCAATGTCAAATATGAACATCGGTATACAGCTTAAAATACAAATGTCAGTAAATATTAAATAACATGGTTAATAATTTTTCTAAGTAAATGCTTAAGAACTATCTCCCAGGGGGCAGGTTAAATGTTAGGTGCTCCAGGCATAAAGAACAGAGCCTCGTCTGGCAGGCGTGTCTCAGTGGTTGGGCATCGACCTATGAACCTGGAGGTCACCATTCGATTCCCAATCAGGGCACATGCCCTGTTGCTGGCTCGATCCCCAGTAGGGGACATGCAGGAGGCAGCCAATCGATATTTCTCTCATCTATGTTTCTCTCTCTCTACCGCTCTCTTCCTCTCCCTAAAATCAATAAAAACATATCTAAAAAAACCCCAAAACAGAACCTCAGCCTGTTCAGATGGTTGCACAGCAGTCCAAACATGTTTTTGACTCAGCGGTGCTCATGGCAGCAGGACAAGCTGTGCCACCCTGGCTCCTAAGCTACACTGGGGCTTTTTCTATCATGGGAAAGAGTCACATTCTGGGACAATAAACTACTTTAAGATGAAACTAGGATGTGTCAGTTCAAGGATATTCTGGTTTAACCTGGGAAGTTAAGGCTTCCCCCTGTCAAATGAACATAGGTCACCAAGGGCTGATAGACAAAAGAGTCAAGCCAGACTCATTCTGAACACATATTCTTGTACCATACAATTAATTATTCTCTTCTTTAACTGAAGTGTGAACTATTTATATTTCACTTATGTATAAAAGGTACCAGCCAAATCAATTGTGTCTAACCTGAACTTTATCCAGTGTGCCCAATACTAGAGATCTTTTAGGCTGGTCATACTTCTGGGTGAAATGTCTATATGTTAACATACCTCAAAGTTTACATTTTCATTATAATAAATTAGCTTTAAGGTTATAATTAGCATCTCAGAAAACTGAATCTAAGTAACTTGACCTAGCATACTAATTAGAACTTAGAACTAATACCATCTTCCCTATCCATTTCGACCAATCTCCAGAATCAGTAGAGATGTATTTTATTTACATATAAAATACCTAAATTAGGCCAATTATTACCAAAGTTTCTTACCTAAAATAATAAATATGTAATTTAAGGCACCAAAGCATACTTTATTCAAAAGCCACAACCAAGCCTTGACTGGTGTGGTTCAGTGGGTAGAGCACTGGCCCATGCACCAGAGTCTCAGGCTTGATTCCTGGTCAAGGGAATGTACCTGGGTTGTAGGTGCCAGGTACCGGGGCCATGTGTGGGAGGCAACCAATCGACGTACATCTCTTACATCGATGTTTCTCTCTCCCCCCTCTCTTCCACTCTCTCTAAAAATCAATGGAAAACATATCCTTGGGGGTGAGGATTAACAACAACAAGTTACAACCAAAATATTAAACGTTCAATCTCATTTTTTAGTTCATTTTAGAAGTCTCAAAATTGAAATCTTTATTAAAAGGAATGATAAATGCTTTGGAAGACCTGACAAGTACCAACAACCGCCTCTCAACCCATGTGTTCAAGCAGTAGCCCATGTGCATCAGGAAGGTCAATGACAGCAGAACTGTGGTCAGGGAGACACACACTCGAGTTTAACAAGGAGGCACCCCTTGGAGCATTCACAGAGTTCACAGTGGAAAAAGGCAGACAATAATCTGTCCTTTCTTCTCTCACTATGCCAATTAGAAAGCAGGAAATCTACTGGCAGAGAAAAAACAGATACACTTAGAGAAGCAGCTGGGATGTCTGTATTCTCTCAGTTGTCCTAATAGTTTGTGAATCAGATATATTTATGACCATGCTGGCTCCAAAACAGGATTCCTGCTCTGTAATCCAGGTAAATGCTCCGAGGGTGCCCCAGGGTTAGTGGACATGAAGAGCAAAGGTTGTCAGACAAGCAGCCTTCGGCTCTAGCAACAAACCTTCATGTGAGCAGAATGGCAGTGATTCACGTTATACTTCTAAGTTAAGATTTAGATTAGAAGGAATGGTAATGGTTTCAGGATAAAAAGAACCAAGGCTTAAACACTCAAAAGAGAGCTTCTTAGATGGAGCCCTATCACTAACCAGTTGCACTGAAAACTTACAGGGAAATGTCTCCAAGCTAGAAGTATACCAACACTTGAATATCACTGGGACATGAACAAAAATGAGAAGTCAATCCTAGTTATTTTGCTTTTCTTTCAGTGGATGGCACGAGGGGGTGAGATGAGGGGAAGATTGACTAATGTAGGGCAGGAAGGTAAAAATGCCAGTTTTGTGGGATTATATTTGCGTTTCCATTTAGGGACACATTTCCTGTTATTTAAATGCTACCATAATTCATAACATGAAACTCATCTCCCAAAAAAAGATCCACATGGTTTCATTTTAGTCTGTGCAGCCCACAGAAGCTATTACAAGTTACATTTATTTTTGCCTCAACTCCTGTACTCTATATATTGTCCAGTTTCTGAGGAGAAGCAATGTGATTTATCCCCCATTCTAGAAGCAAGTGTCCCATCTGACAAATTTCCCTCTGCCCTCCTCCCACTGGCTCTCAGGATACACACAGGGAGCCTTGGTTAGTGACTATTCTCAGGTCCTTCCTTCTTCACCTCTCCTGATTCAGGCTAAATCTTAAGTCTATAATCCACTGCATAACCCAGTACTGCTTAAAAGTCGGACACAAGGAGATCACATTTTCTCCTTCCCTGCAACCATTTGAAATGGAAGCATTCTTTGCAATTAGAAGCAGCAGGATGAGGAAATTCAGTATAGAAAAGGTAGGAATTAACAGAAGAATGTTTGAGAGGTATAATCAGAAAGGTTAAGTACTATCACTAAACCCCCAGTGGCTTACACCCTGGAGAAAATATGAATTCAGGGAAGGCCAGGGATTAAGGCATAGACAGAAGTTACCTCTTAGTATGGCTCAAAGGTTCAGGGGTAGGACCCAATGGAAGGGATCAAAAGCTGCACAAGTAAATTCAGCTGGCCCAGAGGCCTAGCCCCTCTCACCCTCAGCTGAAAATCAAGACAGGTCATTCCAAGCATGTTGACAGCAGACCTGTTTGCAAGTTTGAGGACTCAGTTTTAAAATAAACTAAAATAGGACTAGAATGCAGTATTACAAAATGTTTTCATAAGTTTAATCACAAAAAAGGTTAGAATGTTGCATAGAAGTGTTCTGTAATATTCTCTGTAAACCTAGGTCTTAGTGATTAAAACAAACAAAACCTTCCTTCACAGTCTAGAAGTCCATAATTGTGAATTGAGGAAATTATCAAGTTTGCAGATTTTACAGCAAAACTTCAGAAGATTCTGAAGTTCTTCATATGACTGAATTAAAAATCATGACTGAATTCACCCTTTGGAGGCTCAGGCTGACAGTTTAACAAGTGTCTTTATAAAAGGACATGGGCTACGTGAGCCCAAGCCAATTCTGTGTCTCTGTCTCTGCCCTCTCTGAGTGGAAGAGGTGACCAAAACACACAGAGACATGAAATTACTGCTATTTGTTTTTTTTCGGGGGAGAGCATGAAAGCAGTCCCCCACTACCACAAATTATGCAGTCGAGTTCCCCACATTTGGGGAAATCGCAGGGATCAGCACATCTGGAGTACAATGGATAAGCCTCGCCCTGGGAAAACCACCTTTGTGATCATGGTATCTTCCCTGCCACATAAGTATACTGCTATTGATTTTAAACTTAGGCTGTTTGTTTTTTTCTCACATTAGTCTATTATTAAGCAAGCTACACCTGACTACCCTTTTAACAGTAAGGTTTGAATAGCCAGTTTAAGAGTAAGTGAAAATGTCTCAAAAGAACATTTAAGTTAACCTTGGCAACAGGATGGGAGATTCTTAACCTTTGTAATATGCATCAATTGAGTCTGAGTTAAAATACACCACAGTGACAGTGATATCGTCCCTGTACATCCTTGCCAAGTCCTCCGGCAATGTCAGCATCGCAGTCAGCCGCTCTGGATCCATCTCCCCATACTCATTGCTCCCTATGGCGTGTCTGATCAGACGCGTGGCTGCATTTTGGTCGGCAACGTGAAGCCCCTGGGCTTTCCTCTGCAGCAGCAGGCTTTGCATGAGCCCCAGGTTGGCGGGTCTCTGGGCCAGGTCTGGCTTGTGCCGGCCTGCTTCACTCAGGTGCTCCACCACCAGCCTCACCACATCCTCACTGTCCAGTACGTCCCATAGGCCATCTGAGGCCAGTACGAGGAACTTATCCTGGGGCCTGAGCCTGTGGTATGTGAGCTCAGGCTCAGCAGTCAGGTAGGGTGGAGTGTAGTAGTGCTGTGGGGTGAACTGGTAAATGTTGAGGGCCTCGGTGTCAAAGCCCCTCTCCAGGACACTGCGCTGCAGCTCTTTACTCCACTTCAGCTGGACGTCCCCGAATGCCCTGCAGGGCATGAGGACGCCCAACAGCCTGTCGTCCACGATGATTGTCCCATCTTCTGACTCAGGATGCTCCCTCTTTAGCCGTGACAGCTCAGCCTGGTTCCAGGCATTGTGGTCATGGGTAAGGGGCAGACAAGACCACATGCCATTGTCCTCCTGGACACCAAGGATGGCCCGGCAGTCACCAGCATTTGCCACATGCAAGTGGACCCCATCAACATGGGCCATGCAAGCTGTTGCCCCAGAGAAAGCAACCTGGAGTGAAAGGTTCCTCGTCATCTCATCTTCCAGAGGGGCCTGGATTTCCAGTGAGATGTCAGAATCCAGTCTCTGGAAGGAATACATTAATGCTTCCTTAATGTTCAGTCCCATTTCCATGTGCAGTTCAAGCAGCTCCTGCCAGTAGACCCGGAGGTGATCAAGGTGCACTGACGTGACATCCTTGTAGATACTGTCCCCTGGGTGCTTGAGCCACTGTAGGATGGGCAGCATGGGCTTCATGCTTTCCATTGCTTCCTCCATCTGCTCCAAGGTCTGCTGAGACATCAGCGACACTGCCACATAGTAGAAGAGCCTCTCACTTACTGCTTGAGCACATGCATGGCCACCATGTCCATCAAAGACGCCAAACATCAGCCCATTGGTCTGTAGGCAGGAGGCTACAGCTCGCCGGTCCTCTACTGGGGAATTGGCAGCCAGCTGGTTGCTCTCAAACCGCAATACTGAATTTGGGACTCCACTGACGCTGACGGGGTTGAGAATCTTGTGTGCTGCCTCACCAGCTCGTAGCACTTCATTTACTTGCTCTGGGCTGAGCTGCAGGTGGAAATCGTCTTCCTCTGTCGATGTGTGCCTATAGGCTTTCGGCAGAGCAAAGCCACCACATGGGGCATTGTTTTTTAGGGTGGTTGATACCCAGGAAAAGAGAGCCCTTTTTGATTTATTTCTACTTGAGGCACACCTTGAATAGAAACACCTGCCCCCTTGTAATGTGGCGATGCTGTTCCTTGCAGAATTTAAGATCCAGTAGGACACAGTACTTGACATTCTGAAACTATACCAGCAAATGTGTTCCTTCAGCAAAAGGGTGTTGTTTATTTAAATCTGAAAATTAAAGTTTCAAATTTAATTTCTCGATAATAATGACTTCTGAAAACATGTAATTTGCTACTCTCCTGAACAAAAGTGATTTAAGGTAAACTATTTAAAAGAGTTTGCTAAACTTAAAATACCTAAGCAAGTTGCCCTACCTCCCATTATAACACATAAACACACCCCAGGAAATGTGAAAAATAGAGTCTGTATACACTCTCAACTCTTACACAGCCACTGTGGGCTTCCCCATAGAGTTCACTCATTCTTCACAGCTGACCCAGTGGTCCCTTTTCCTCTCCTTCCCAAATCTTTTCCCTTGCTAGAGTCCAGTGTCTAGCTCCCATGTTCACTCTCCCCAGCAGACTATCCATGTTTATTTATATACCTGCTTTCCCACTAGCCTGTAAGCTCCAAGAATTCAGGAACCATGGGTCCCTTACCAGTGGCTCTTCAAGACCCAGCCTTGTACCTAGCACACAACAAGCCCTTAAATATTGGCTAACTGTGATTTTTAAAGGCCCAATAGCACTCCAGGTATAATACTAGCTATCTAGCATCAGACACACTGCCTGAGCTATAGCTGTTCATTGGTGGGATGGGAATAACAGTCTCGTAAGGTTTTGTGAGGCTCCAAAATAAGGTAATTACTTTTATCATTAGGTGTATTATCCTCCAGACATTATGTACACATTTTCATATAGTTGTAACCACAACTTTGAACCCAGTTTTCCTGTTAAGATCATTTTATTCATATTACATTTCATGGATCTGTAATACCCCATTTTGATATAAACAATCACAATTTACTTAACTACTCTCTATTGTTCGAGATACCAAGGTCATTTCCACTGCCATTTATAAAACATCAAATTGTACTGTACCTTCTGCATCAACCTTTTCCCTACTTAGGTTTTATCCTACTTACTTCCCAAATGAGGAATTGGTAGGTCAAAGGCTGTAGATGTGTATTGCCAAACTAATTTCCAAAAGGTTCACATCTGCCTCTGTAAAGGCATGAAGGAAACAGTTTCCTAGCACCTTCAACAGCCTTTGGTGGTATTTTTCCTTAGGAAAAAAAAAAAAAAAAGAGCTGCTCTATTTTCTATTTTCTCCGGTGACCCGGGAGAAAGAGCATTTGCCACGTGTTTTCGGATTTCGTTTGTCTGTTGGGGTGTCCGAGAACTCCCAGAACTGAGGAACGGCCTCTTCCCAGTCCACCCTGCTGAACTTGAGGCAGGAGCTGCCCTCAGAGTGAACAGAGGGCGCCTGCCCCCTCCCCCCGCCCGGGGCCCTGCAGAGAAGCCGGGCAGCGGGGTCCCACGCCAGGCGGTCTGCCTCAGCCCTGATCCAGGTTAGCGTCCCTAAAGGAAACAAACGGGTCCCAAGTTCAAGTCTCTGACCCGCGGTCTCATAGATAAGAGAGACGCCAAGCTCTCAGGGCTACTCCCGGGGCTAAAGGAGCTAGCTAGTGCCTCGGTACCCAGCAAGGGTGCTTGGCTAGTCGCGAGCCCACGTGGCGCGTGGCGCGAGTGGGATGACCGTGGCTGTGAGCCCAGCTTTTCCCCGCCGGCCGCGGGCCCGCCCCCTCACCTCACCTCACCTGACCCGACCCGACCTCCGCTCTCCTCCACCCCATCACCCGAGACGAGCCAGGGGCGTGGCAGACCCACGCCAGCGAGGCCCGGTGGAGTTAAACGCGTCCATAACCCGCGCACGACCCCTTCCCAACCTCGGACCTTGTCGCTGCCCTCACCGGCTTGCGCCACTGCCGCGGGGCTCGGTGCCGCCCCAGCGTAGAAGCACCGCGCCTGCCGCCACCGGAGCCTCCCTCTGAACGCCGCCAGCGCAACTCCAGAAGGAAGCGTCCTCTCGCCAGCCCTTATTGGTTCATCTGAGGAGGCGGACCCTTAACGGACAGTGGAATTGCCCAATGGCTGAGGAGCGAGGGTGGGCGAGCGGAGGGAGGGACCTGGAGAGGCTAAATCCGGTTCCTCCCCCCTCCCCCTCCCCTCCCGGCTGGGCTCTGACCTAGAGCAGGGTGAGAGCAGGGCTACGGATCCATTCAGTCATTTGGCTGAGCACCCCACTGCGTGACCGCCCGGACTATGCACACCCCAAACCCGGTAATCTTTCCAGTTCCTTACTGTTCTTAGGGATTCCCTAGGGCTTCCTCTCCGTTTCTGTGCGGGCCAGTCCAGACCCCTCTCCCACGCGCCGCAGCCTTGCAATTCAGCTCCGGCCGAAGGCCCCTCTATGCCTCAAACACAACTTGCTCCCAACACATCTTCCGGCCAAACCAGCTCCTCCTGTTACAGCATAGTAAGAAGCTAGGAAAATTCCAGGACAAGTGGAATAGGGAAAGTAAGACAGATAATTAAACAGCAGTTTGTGGCCACCTAGTAACTCCTGTCTTCCCTAAACGAAGGACACCAGAGAGTAAATGGTTTGCTTTCCTGCTCACCAGCCAGAGCGTAAATAACTTAAATCACACGACTCAGGAGGACAGATAACAGAAATCCAATTAGTGCCATTTGCCAACCACACTCAAGGACAAATGAAATTAATAAACCTTATTTTGGTATATCAGCATAAAGCTGATGAATAGTCTATTGACATCCTTCCCTAAACACCCAGCTTTTAAAACCCTTGAAAATGAAGATCCCAACGTGCCCCCCCCTCCCCGCTCCCCAGGGGGGCATGCCTGAGCCATCTTCCCCCTTCTTCCATCTAAGGGACCCCACCAGACTTGCCACCAGTGAAGTAATGGGCAGAGGCAGCTTGTCCCAGACTAACCCCCTGAACCTGTCTCCAAGGCCCTCTTCCCCTCGCTTTTCTCTGACTTCCCAGTGAGCCAAGGCAGCCCAGCCTAGGCTCTCATGTTGCTTTGTCTGTGCCCTTCCTTGTTTCATTTTCCTAAGTATAGTTTTGCTACGGTCAATAAGTTCTTGCTCTTTTTTACACTTTGTCTCTTGATTGAAATCTTTCCCTCAAGAAGACAAGAACCGAGGTCTCTTGTTTCCCTGGTAACATTCCCCTTCTCCCCTAACCCAGAAATGGTCCCATCCTCTGCCCAAAGACCCAAGCTAGAAGCCTGGGTGGGAGTCATCTCGACTTCTCCTTCTCCCTCACCCCCATCCCACTCTCCTGTCAGTTATCTAATACTGTTAATTTTATTTCTTAAATATTTCTCCAATCCAAACACTTGCCTCCAGCTACTCTACCACCTTTTCCCAAGCCTCTCATCTGGTCTCCACACTTCCAATTTCAACTTGGCTTTAGCCACCCTTCCTCTACAGAGCAGGCAGTGACACTTCTAGAACTCAGATTCCTGTTCTAAAGTCTTCTTTGGTTGGGGAGGGGGTGGGATGGGGTGGAATGGGTCATTGGGGAGAAAAAGGGACATCTGTAATATTTTGAACAACAACAAAAAGTCTTCATTGGCTCCCCACTGACCATTGGGCCTTGAGCTGACAATTACATTGGCCTGACCACTGACAGTTCCCACAAATGGTTAGTGGTTGCTAGGTTGAAAAATGCTGAGAACCAGGACCCTAGATATTCATTCCTTCAGCCCTTTCCATTCTGGGATTCCAGTTTTCACCTTCTTCCTTATAAACTATTTAATAGAACTCTTTTACTAATTGTGGTAAGTCAACTGTAACCCTCCCGTGGAAGCAGAGAAAAATAAGAGATAACCAGAAAAGGCCACTTAGAACCTTGAGAATGTTGTCTTCCAGAAGGAAGACACATTGGCTTACTGGGGGAGCCTGGCTAGCCCACCTGGACCCAAGGACGTGCCTACCAGAAAACTGCTCTTGTCAGACTTGCCCTTAGTATGATATTTACATCACTACTCACCCTTGGCCCTTTACAAAGAACTACCAGTTAGTCAGAATTTGCAATATCTCTCTTCCTGGATTTCGAGAGGGCTGTTTCAGACTCAAACTAAAAATAACTGTAAGGGATTCTAAATAAGTGGGTGTGTCAACGTAAGAACGTGCAAATCTGTAGAGATTTTTTATGAGTTTATTTGACGCAAAACTGTTCCCTGGCATATGTGNCAAAGAACTACCAGTTAGTCAGAATTTGCAATATCTCTCTTCCTGGATTTCGAGAGGGCTGTTTCAGACTCAAACTAAAAATAACTGTAAGGGATTCTAAATAAGTGGGTGTGTCAACGTAAGAACGTGCAAATCTGTAGAGATTTTTTATGAGTTTATTTGACGCAAAACTGACCACATATGCCAGGGAACAAAATCTCAGATGCTCCAGAGAATAACAGTTTTGCAACTCCTTTTATGCATTTGAAATTAATGAGGGAACATAAGGAAGGTTCCATGAGGGTGGGAGAAAGCAAGAATTAGATGATTATGTGCTTTCTTTGGGGTGGTTATGCCTTTGAGTGACCTGCCCAATTAGGAATTTACGATTTATTACAGCACTCCTTTTTCAACCAGAGATGCAAAATGTTTTTTGTATAGATAGTTCATTTGGGGTTACAGAGGGTCGTCCCTCAGGACCGAGGCAGCACAGTTTAATTACTCAATCTGTGGGCACTTATGGGTACCTACAATGTGTCAGGCTCTGGGCCAACTACTAGAGACACACAGATGGCTGCCCCTACCACACTTTCCTGAGAAAAATTATATCACTCCACTGAACCTGAAACCACAGAGCTTTTCTGAGTTACCACACACATGCCATTTCTAAAGTAAAAATGCACCCTGGAGGATTTTGTTGTGCACTGGAACTTTTGTTTAAAGGCTATAACCAGTTCAGTCACTCGATATATGATGGCTAACTCAAGAACCCCATCTGGTCTCCCAAAGCTTCTTTGAGTCAAGCTCTTCTAAGAAAAAAAAAAAAAAAGAAGGAAAAGAACTTATTTCTCCCTTGAGAAAGGGAAAGCAGCAGCTCAGCTGCCATTTTTCTGAGAAAATATTTTTAAATGGCAGCCTCACTCAAAACCAAACAAATGTGAATTAAAACAAGATGCTGATTTTTGTCAATCAACTTGACAAATATTAAGACAAGATTAATACTTAATGTTGGTGAGTGGGCACTGCCATGTTGGCAGGTGGGAGAGTGAATTGGAGCTACCCAATGGACAGATCTTTGGTCTACTAATTATACTTCTTTTATCTTAAAGAGAGAGTCAAAGGTAAGTATTACTAATTTTCTACAATTAGCATACATATACATCGCTCCATCTGGCATATCTTACATAATTAGAACCACTTGGAAAGGGCAGTTGTGTGGGCCTCACAGTTGTCATTTGCACTCCAACTTTCCAGTGGCTCATATTCTTTCTTGAAAGTAAATTTGGAGAGGAGTAGAACAGTTCTAGGGGTCTGGTGTAGGGAAGGGGAGGCAAGAGGAAGTTGGGAGACAGCCCTGGAGTCCCCAGAAATACAGGCACATCAAGTTGGCTCAATCAGCAAGCAATGGCTAACATGGCACAGCCTGTGCTGCCCTGTGGACTTCTGAGTGCCCAGTGGCCTCTCCAAGCCACTCCTGGGGAGGCCCTGCTCCAAGTGGATGGGGCCCCCCTTTCAGGCCCAGGAACAACTCGGAGAGGGACCTGAGGACACCCTGGGTTGGATGCAGGGGTTGAAGGGTGGAGTGTCAGTGCCTTGGCCTGAGCAGCAGCCCTGAGCACCTAACAGGAAGCTCAGTGTGGGGTTGAAAAGGTCTGGAAGGAGTTACTGGCCAGAATAGAACATCAGGTGGAAAAAACAGATTGCAACAAAGAAGAGAGGGCTTTTTTGATACTAACGACAATTATTTATTTGTGTATTTCTCCTCCTGCTCCCTTCCCTTTGTGGGTGCGTCTTCATGAGCAAAGTTTAGCAGGACACATGCCAGCAGTTAACAATGCTTCTCCCCAGGTCATGAAACTTTGAAGGAACTTTTCACATTCTTTACCTTTCCATTTCCTTAACATTTTTTTTTAACACTCAGCATGTATTTAATAATCAGGAAAACCTCTAATAATGTCTGTCCTACACACTTGCGCATAGAATCGAGAAGGAAGAAGGCACAGTGCAGCGGAGGGTGGTCTGTCCTGGGGCAAGGGAGGCAGCTGGGAAGAGGGCGGGGCCTCCAGAGTGCTCTTTTATAGGGAAGGCTCTTTTATAGGGGAAATCAGGGAAGGCTCCTCTGATAAGATGGGCTTTGGAGAGAGATCTGAAGAAAGTTAGGGCATGACACTGGTAGTGTCTGGGGGAGAGCAGGTTTGCCAGAGAAAACAGCAGGGACAAAGGTCCTGACCTTGTGGACCAGCAGAAGGGCTCGGATTTTATGGCCAGGGCTGCCTGTCCCACCTTCAACCCTTGGGCCAGAGCTAGAAAGGGCATGAGAGAGCACGTCACCCATGCTTTCCTAAAGTGTGCTCAGTGTATTATGTGAGGGCAGATCCCTCCCCCCAGCTGTGCAGTGGCTACATAATGGGGGCAGGGGGAAGTATGTGAGAGTGTTGAGGCGGTGCTGTCCTCCTTTTCTTGGCTCTGGAGCTATTTCTGTCTGAAGAACTGGGACCCGTCGCTATAATCAGGGCACCCCCATCCCCAGGCTATGCTGGAGACTGGGTCAAATTTAATTCAACTTTTTTTCACACTAACCTTCAGTTTCATATGATGACCTCCAAGCCTTTGCGCCTGCTGTTCCCCTGCCTGGAATGCCCTCATCTATCTTCCATACCTTTGGGGAATAGTGGGGCTACTGCCTCGGCTGGCCCTCCATGCATGCCCTTTCCCCAGTAGCCCAGTGGTGCTCAGTGGCACTGGCCAGCGGCCCTGG